CCATCGTATCCCGCCGATTCGGGCTTCCAGCCACGTTGTGATCCACTCGTGAGGTTGCCATCTCGGATGGAGGCATCGCAGTCTCCCTCTCTTGCTCGCTTTGAACTTCGCGCGGACCAAAATAAAAAGATTGCCCGCCGTCATGTTTGGAGCTGCCACTTCCGCGTTTGGAGCTCCAAATGGCGGCGACACTCCAAACACGGAAGCGCCAGCTCCAAACGCGGCAGCGGAATGGGCAGAAGGGAAAGCAACAGCGGCGGGTGCCAAAGGTGTCTGCAGCAAAGGTGTTTGGTGGGAGTAAGGAGCTCTCCGCGCTTCGCCATGATCGCCCGTTAGGAGCGGCTGGTGGCGAGGAATTCCTGCCCGCCGGGCGCTCCTAACGGCAAGTCTCCTGCCCTTCCCCCTTATTTTGCATATTTTAAGATAGGCCTAAATTTGGGGGGAGGGGCTTAATTTGATTTTATGCCCCCAAAACATGCTGGGCCTTCCTATTGGTGGAGGCCGTATTGTTGGAGAAACACGGTATGATAATGAATAGCAATGGCACTAGCACTTAGACTTATATACCGCTTCACAGTGCTTTCCAGCCTTCTCTAAGCAGATTACAGAATCAGCATATTGCGCTCTGGTGAGATTCGATCTGCCAAATTGCAGGCAGCTGGCAGCAGCAGAAATAGTGTAATGACCCGGGGCGGGGCACAAAGGCAACACAGTCAAATAAGCAAGAAGAGTCCCTTTATTATCTCCAACTTTGCCCCCAATGTCCAGGTTACCTTTGGCTGGAAAAAACTCTCCTAGGAACAGCCTTTAACTATAGAAAATTCAATCCAAAACAAGGTACATACAGACTGTAACCAAAAATCCAAACGAATAAAGCTGCAGTAATTAACTTGACAAGGCAGGAGAAAGACTTTCAGACTTGAAAGCACGGCAACACTCATACAGTTGGGAATACGCCAGAAACACAGATAAGCCACGACAATACCAGATAAATTCACAATTTGCTTCCAACAACTTGCTGTGCGCAGCTTCCCTTTTTAAACAGTGTGTTCGCAGCTGCAGCTAATGAAGAGAATCAGGGCCCTTTCCTTCCCGGTAAGCCACGCAACTCACGTTGCTCCCTTCTCCGTTCCTCCCTGCATGCCCTAGGATGAAGAGGGGGTGGGCCTGGGTCTTCCTCTGAATTCCCTCTCCCTTGCTCTACCTCTTCCCTGCTCTGCCCAGCCAGACTGTGCCCTTCCCCAGTTTCTTCCACAACCACACTCCCACTCCCTGTTGGAATCAGATTCCAAAAGGGACATGACAAGTAGCTTGCAGTACTGCACTCTAACCACTGTGCCACTGAGGCTCTTGTGAAAATACAAAGAAACTTTAAAATCCCCAAAGCAAAGCTTTATTGAACGCATAACTGCAGCACAGAAAAAAGTAGAACCAACTCTTAAATTTTCCCATGCAACCCTTCATAGTGAACCCTTCCTCTCATGGAACAGGTCACATGATTTAATTAAGAATAAGCATTTTATTTTGATAACAGGCTGCTTCTTTGCCGACATTCCTCTGGGGATCGTTAATAATTAGGAATTCTCTAACTTGGTTGTGATCCCCTAAAACTAAAAAAACGAATTGGGGTGGACCCCGTGAACAAAACCAACAAATTCTTTACAATTAAGAGTTTTGGTAAAAATAAATACAGATAGCCCTCAACATACAACCATAACTGAACCCAAATTTCTGTTGCTAAGTCAAGACAGCTAGATTTTAGAAAAAGACAAGGATGTCATTCATTTTCTCTGCCTCCATAAATCTTCGTTCTTTCTGCTCCCAAGTTGCACACCTAAAGAAAAATAACATGCTGTCTATGGCTCTTTAAAGGCTTTTTTAAAAATTATTATACAGGCAGTCCTCAACTTACGGCCACAACTGAGCCTAAAAATTTCTGTTGCTAAGCAAGGTAGTTGCGATCTTGTCAGTTTTGCTCCATTTTATGACCTTTCTTGCCACAGTTGTTAGGTGAATCACTTCAGTTGTTAAAAGTTAGTAACATGGTTGTTCAGTGAATCCAGCTTCCCCATTGACTTTATCAGAAAATCACAAAAGGTACACTGCAACTTTCATAAGTACATGCCAGTTGCCAACCATTTGCCTTTAGTTCACTTGACCACGGGGATGCGGCAACAAGTGTGAAAAACAGCCATGTCGCTTTTTTCAGCACCATTGTACTTTGAATGGTCACTAAATGAACTTTTGTAAGTAGGGGACTACCGTATTCCTTTTGAGTAGTTAAATTTTATGGTAATGCACCAGAGGGAGCCTTAAAACTGTCAGAAAGGGAGCAAAGGCCAAGAGATTTTACTTTTGTCTGTGAGAGTTGATCAGATCTTTTTAAAAAGAATATACTCCCCTCCTCAAAAATACCTGGGAGCCTGAGTTAATCTCTCTGTCAAGATAACCTACGATACAGGGTTGGAGCAAGATCAATTTATTTTGTGGGTTGATGGGGAAATAAAAAGGCGGAAGCGAAAATGCTACCCATAGCCTTGAACCAAGTCACGCAGATGAGAATCTGGGTCGCAGTTGAAAAAAAGATTAACACCCAATATGGAAGAGGAAAAGGGCCGGCTGGTTAACCTCTTTAGGAAGCAAAAAAGCGACAACTTGGCTTCCGTCACTTATTGGTCATCTTGGGAAATCCCAAAGGTGCTTTTTCAAAATGCAACTCGACTCTATTTTTCCTTGAAGACGTTTCGCTTCTCATCCAAGAAGCTTCTTCAGTTCTTAAACTGAACTGAAGAAGCTTCCTGGATGAGAAGCGAAACGTCTTCAAGATAAAACAAAGTCCAGCTGTCTTTTGAAAAATAACCTTTTGGGACAAATCATGGATGTTGGATGACTGAGAATCTCCATGAACACTCAGGGAAATGTTAACAGAAAAGATTTAGCTGTTATCTAGTGTTGTGTGTGTGCTTCAATCTCACAGTAATTGCTGGGAAAATTAACCCTACTCTAGACACCTCAAATCCCTCAGGGTTGTTTCATTGCTCTCTAGACTCACTGTTAGCTCCGTTTTTCCCAATCAGATGACGATGAAATCTCTGGTCAATAAGCACTTCGGTGTAGTCCATCCGTCTGAGCTGCAGAAGAGAACGGAGTGGTGAGACACAAGACTTGCAAGACAAACATGGAGCCTCAGACAAGTCAGATTCTATCTTGGGCATCAGAAATCGCGCTGAAGACTTGCAGACTTCAACTCCCAGAATTCCCAGCCAGCCATGGGAATTGAAGTCTTCCCATTGCCAGGTTTGGAGACTCCCATGCTAATGTAAAACCGAACTGGTCAGGCACACTCTCTCACTTCCCTCACCACCAAGGTTCCTTCTAGTCCTTTGAATCTATGATTTACTTATCCTAGCAACAACAAAGCTCTTCTGAGATTCTTGGTGGTACCTATTTATCTACTCGCGTTTGCATGCTTTCAAATTGCTAGGAGGGGCAGGAGCTGGAGCAAGGAACCGAGCGCACCCTGTTGCGCAGTGCTGGGTGTCGAACCTGAGCTGTCACCTTTCCAACCGACAAGCCCAGCTTCTTTTAACCACTGAACCATCACCTCCATTCACAACATGGCAAAAGCTGGTATCAAACTGTAGGAGGCAGAGATAACCCACAGAACTGCAGCTTTCTCATTGGAATTCTACGGCACGTTTGAATAGGTAGGGCTCCAATTTCTGGATTCATTTACAAGAAAGTTTTAAGAGGCAAAATAACACATGGAAAAGGACAGTATTTGGTGTTTTAAGCACACTCTTCTAAAAATAGTTCTGCATCATCTCTCCTACAGGGGACACTCCTAATATCACTAGCCACAGATAAATTATTGACCTGGATATAAAAGGTTTGTTCTTCCTGCTATAGAGAGGAGTCTGACAAAAAAAGAGAAAGTACATGTAAGATTCACAAGAGGACTCACCAGGTCCCGAATGATTTCTTGAATCTGGCTTTGGGCCAATTCCACCTCCTCAGTGGGTCCTTCTAGAGTGATCTTCTCATCGCCATCAGTGAATTCAATGTGAACCTAAAAGAAAGAAAGTCTACTACCAAGAAGGGTTGCACGTCTTTCTCCTTCTGTCCTGGCCACTTTTTACAGAGGCACAACTGAGAGTGTTTTAACAAACTGCATCACTGCTTGGTTTGGTTTGGTGGCAGCAGTGCCTCAGACAGAAAGTCCCTACAGAAAGGGATGAGGACAGCCAAGAAGATTATAGGAAGCTCGACTCCCGTTATTCAAGATACTGCTTATGAGCGCTATGTGCTTAGAGCTCAAAACATTGTTAGAGACCCACACACACCTACTTCACAGCCTGTTTCCATTGCTCCCCTCTCGGAGGAGGTTTTTGAAATATTTCTAGAAGGACTACCTGATGAGCCACAGCGACACAATGGTTAGAGTGCAGTACTGCAGGCTACTTCTGCTGACTGCCAGCTGCCTGCAATTTGGCAGTTCAAATCCCACCAGGCTCAAGGTTGACTCAGCCTTCCGTCCTTCCGAGGTGGGTAAAATGAAGACCCAGATTGTTGGGGGCAATACACTGACTCTGTAAACCACTTAGAGAGGGCTATAAAGCGGTACAGCGGTATATAAGTGTAAGTGCTATGGCTATTCTGTAACAGCTTTGTTCCCAATGCCATTCATCTGGTAAACTCGCAAGATTCTTTTTTTTCAGTGTTGTTATAACTTTGAATTAGCAGTGGGATCCTACCTGTTCCACTACTGGTTTAGTGATCGCATGTGTGTCCCTAATGTACACGCAGCTTTCCCCGCACCAGCTGAGGCCTGCAGCTCCAATCAGCTGAGAGGATAAAGAAGAGAAAAGCTATTTTTCATCCTCTCAGCTGATTCTCGAAGGCCTTTTTTGACTGCCGGTTTGGCCGAACTGGTCCGAACCGGTAGCATACCACCACTGCTTTGAATGGTCACTAAATGAATGGTTGTAAGTCAAGGACTATACTAACCGATACACCGATATTTATGGTCTTCTATGTTCTATAAAGAGAGGGGCAAAGAGCTCAATAGACTATTCAAATTTAGCTCCTGCTTTTCCAGTCTCCTCAAGGGAGAGGAGTACTTTTATTTTTAAATAATATTTCATACATTAAACCAGAGATTTTACTCTGTTTTATTTATAGCTTTGTTATTTTAGGAATACTTGCCTTAGGGAGTTGCTGGGTAATTCTGCCAATATTCTGTCCTTTCTTCCCAATTATAAAACGATGTAACCAGGCTGGGGCCATTACTTCAGCTACCATCACACTCTTCGCCTAGGGAAAAGGGACAGGATGGCGAGAAGCATTTACCGGCTTCATTCGCAAGAGTGACTTTGAAAAGCTGGCTACAGACAGGTCTCCATTCAAGTTAGATACCCAAACTGGCACATTTTTATGCCAGCATTTTTAGCGCTGCAATACTTGCATTCTGCCTCCAGATGGCATAATGGCATGATTGTAGCATTGTCACCATGTTTATTTATTTTTTTCTTAATTAGATGAGCAAGTTAGCCAATTACACTAAGCCAGAGTTGGTTAATCTTCAGCTTCTGCGATTCACATACCCGTGTTTCCCAGAAAATAAGACCAGGTGTTATTTTCTTTTGGGCCCCAAAATAAACACTAGGGCTTATTTTGGGGGGGGGTCTTATTTTTTCCCCATATACGAGAGACACACTTCTTCTGCTTGCTCACAGTGGGGCAGGAGGCGGTGGGGATGAAGCTGCCCCACATGCCCCGCACTGGCTTACTTCAGGGCTTCTGCAGTCAGGCCACCCATGCCCCGGCACCTGTCTCACCTCCGGCAGCCCCCTCCAGCAGGACGCTGCGTGACCACCAGCCCACTTTTTCTGCTTGCTCACAACCGCAACAGAGCAGGAAGCCGAGCAATGCACCGCTGCTGCGGCCACGAGGCAAAGTGGGAGGGTGGAGCTGCGCCATGCACCCCTCAGCCAGACCACCCACGCCCCAACACCTGCCTCATCTCACAGCTGTGGCACTAGTGTGCCACTAGGTCTCCTGCTCCATTGCAGCTGCAAGCAAGCAGAAGAATTATGTCAGCAGCCACATGGGCTCCTCTGTACATGGCTGCTGGTGTTGCCGCCATGAGGATGGCCTGGCTGTAGGAACACTGAGGTAAGCCGGTGCAGGGCACGTGGGGCAGCTCCATCTCCCAGCCTTGCCTAGTGGGTGCGGCACCCCTAGCAACAAGACAGAATGGATGGGCGACCAGCTGTAAGCTCTTAAGTAGCGCCTATTTTGGGGGTAGGGCTTATATTAGGCACACGTAAAAACATGCCAGGTCTTATTTTTGGGGTGTCCCTCAACCCCCTCCAATTTTGGTGAAAACCAGACACCCCCCCATTTTTAGTTAGGAAACAAAGGAAACAAAGTATTTTAAGTTCAAAAATGTCATTGTTAAAAATAGGGGGTAGAAATTCTCCAAAACCCCAATGTTTCATTAGATAAAGTGGCCCCACATTCTCCCCCCTCCCATTTAAGTGCCATTTTTGACCATCCAAAGACTGCCTATCTCTACTCCTCAGTTTGTTGAATGTGGTTTCCTGAAAAAACACAATTTACTAAATTCACAAGGACACCACATCCTGTTCGTGACTTACAATGGCCAAATTCACCGTCATCTAAACCAGGGGTCGCCAACCTTTTGGATCTCAGGGACCACCAAACTCATACTTTTAAATCCCGAGGACCACTAATATGAATTTTTTTAAAAAGCTAATATATTTAATATAATTTTTTATGTTAAATATAAATTTATACATATACATATATATGTGTGTGTGTGTGTGTGTGTTTTCTTAAGTTTTCGCCGGTATTTATATGTATGGTATTCAGCTTTGTTCGGGTATTTTCCCACGTCATTATAGTTGTGCTTTTAAAGTTGTAGCAACGTTTCGGCAGAATCTCATCTGCCATCATCGGGCTTCTGTACAGTGTTCGTCTGTGAGTCAGACTTTCACAGCCTTTTGTTTTAAATTTGGTGCTAGCCATCTGCTGTGCCAGAATGGTTTTATCTTCATCCTGATTGGTTGGGAGTCTTGGTCTGTGTTTATTGGTCTTGGAGTTTGCTGTGTTCTGCTTGATTGGTGTTTCTAATATCTTCTGTCTGTTTTGTGGCTTTTTTGTCTTGATTGGCTAGCAACATTGTGTTTCCTGTATTGGAGGCTTTTAGTGCGGCTTGGCTCCAAGTAAACAGATGGCTATCATTTATTAGGAAGCTAGGTTTCATCTGGGTGCCTGGTTGAGGTGTGTTTGAGCTGGAGGTATCAGGGGGAGTCTGTTTGTGCCCAGGGGTTTGGCTGGCTTGTGGTGTGGAGATTTGTTTGTTTGAGAGTGCAGGCTTCCAGATAATTGACAGTCTGGTGGAATCATCTCTTCTATTCATGCTTTCAGGTCTTTTTTCAATCTCTATGGCTTCTCTAATAATTCTGTAGCTGGGGTTTTCTATTGTGGCTAGGGTTTTGGTGCCATTGAAGTTGATGCTATGACCTGTAGCTTTCATGTGTTGGACTAGTGAGGAAGTGTGTTCCAGCTTTTTTACTGCATTTTTGTCTTCATCTAGGCAGGTACTTATTCTTCTATTGGTCTGTCCAATGTATGTGGCAGGGCATGATGCACAGGGGTGCATATATGAAGTCCCCTGTGCATCACAGACGAACACAATACAGAAGCCTGATGATGGCAGATGAGATTCTGCCGAAACGTTGCTACAACTTTAAAAGCACAACTATAATGATGTGGGAAAATACCCAAATAAAGCACACATACATACATGATACACACACACACACACACGTACACACACACACACACACTTATTAAATTATAACAAAAATGTAAATGCTTGATGATAACAAAATAAAACGTTCTGGGCTGGAAGCCACCCCACCACCTGGCACCTTCCAGAGAGACAGAAGAGTGGGTGGGGTGTGTGTGTGTATGTCTGAGCTGAGGGGGCTGGGGCAACTGCCGCTGGGAGAAGCAGAGGCAGAAAGGGGGCTTTGCTCTCCTTGGGGGGCAGCGCCCCTTGGCTGCCACTCCAGGGGCTTCTCAGCAGGCATCTTCCTGCAGAAGGACTGCAGCTCTTGGTGATTAATTTGGGGAGGGGAGGGGGAGAAAGTGGGAGCTCCTTTCAGATCCCGGGTGGAAGATTGAGAGGCTCAGATCTGCAGCTGAGGAAAAGCTGGGGGGGGGGGGCTCTTCCAGCGTCACCTGGAGACAGGCAAGGAACGGTGTCCCTAGGGGCACTTTTCTCGCTTTAGCACTTCGCTACCAAACCCAGCCACAGCCAGTGATTATTTGGGGGTGGGGGGAGGGGGAGGGGAGAAAGCATCTCTTGCATTACCAGGGGAGGAAAGGAGACAAAACAAAGCTCACTCTTTCACTGAGACCTACTAAACGCCAATCTACCGTGTTCCAGGAGTTCTTCGAAATCATCAAACGCTCCCACTTGCAGTTCCCGTGCCTCCTGGCTCAGGTCCCTGAGATGCACGCTCCCACACATGGTGGCAGTGGCAATAACAGTCCCCTCCCCCAGCACCCGCTGTCAGCTCTCCCCATTAGTTTTCTAGCTTTGAATTGCTCCCGGCTCTCTCCCTTTCCTCCCCCCGCCCCCCCGCCCACGTGCAGGCAGGAATGGAAAGGGAGACAGAGCCATGCACAGCTCTCCCCTTTTTCAGCCCTTGCTGCCTCTCCCAACATCGAAGCCTTGGAAATGCAGGCAAAGCCGCCACAGCGGTAGCGCCCTGAATTGCTTGCTTCTCCACTACTGCCGCCGCCTCCTCCAGCACCACCTCTTTCTCTGGGTAGGGCGATTCTTAACTAACCAAGCATGCTAAGGCAACTCAGGACACTACCACTGTGGCGGCTTTGCCTGCATCTCTGAAGCTTCGATGTTGGGAGAGGTAGCAAGGGCTCCGTCTCCCTTTCCTTTCCTGCCTGCACGTGGGTGAGGGGGGAGGAAAGAGAGAGAGCCAGGAGCAATTCAAAGCTAGAGAACTAATGGGGAAGAGCTAACAGCGGACGCTGGGGGAGGGGACTGTTGTTGCCGCCGCCGGGTGTAGGAGTTGGTTGATGCGTGCATCTCAAGGGCCTGACTCCGGGGTCCCTTGGAGAGCCGGGAGGCGCAAGAACTGCGCGGCCCAGATTAATTGTTTTGGGGGGCCATTTCTTCTGTGGCCCACCAAATTCTTTTCATGGCCCACCAGTTGGCGACCACTGATCTAAACCAAATGGAGCCTGCTTGACACAACACCACTTTATTTTAAACAAAACAGCAGGTATTGAACCAAAGGAAAAAAATAAGAGGAAATATGCAGAGAGAAAAATGCACCTTCTGCACAGATCCAACATTTTTACCTAGCTGGTCTTTAAAGTTTATGTGCATGTTGTTTTCAGTTAACTTATGCAAATTCTAGGAGGAAAGCCAGATTTCTTTTGTTGACTTTGGCACACCAAACAAGGTCCTTGGCTGCTAAGTGCTAGTCCCATGTCAAATGTCCCCGGGTTACTAGACCTTTGTGCAACCTTTGCAGATGGTTACCTTGGCATAGACCTGAGTTAAGGCTGGCCCCAGTTTGTCTGGCTCTCCACGCAGAATGATGGTTTCAGAGCTGCTTTCAAGGGGCGGCATCTCCACCGAGACTCCTGTGGTATCTAGGATTTCCTGCAAGGTGTTTCCTTTTGGGCCGATGATGTACTTGTGTTGGGACTTCTTTACCTCCACAGAGATGGTGGTGGTCTTGCGCTTCTGAAAGACAGCCAGAGGCAACTTCGAACCAGAAAAAGATGCAAAGCCAACCTTCATTCTTAGCCTACGAACAATCCTTCACTTTTTCACCAGGGCTGATGTTTACTCACATGGTCTGGAGCATATCCAGGTAAGTGTTGGAATTCATTGTTGGGATGTATTTCTATGCAACAACTACAGTAATATTCAGCCAGTAAACAGCAGTGTTTACAAATTTGGATCTATGGTATATACGCTACACTCTTTTGTTCTAAGCAGAGTTTCCCATTTCCTGTTACAGTTAAGCAGTTGAACAGTAAAGCACATGGTGACTGTACTCTTGGTTTGTCTGTGGTGCTATATATATAAACGGAAATTTTAACACTAAGACTGGTCCAGCATACAGGTAGTCCTCAACTTACGACCACAATTGAACCCAAAATTTAAGATATTTGTTTTGTTCCATGTTACAACATGTTTCTTGCCACATTTGTTAACTGAATCATTGCAGTTGTTAAATTAGTAACCTGATTGTTAAGTGAATCTAGCTTCCCCATTAACATCAGTTGTCAGAAGGCTGGAAAAGATGGACCACATGACTACAGGACACTGCCACCATCATAAATGTGACTCAGTTGTCAACTATCTGAATATAAATCATGTGACCATGGGGATGTTGCAATGGTCATATGTGAAAAATGACCATGAGCCACGGTGGTGCAGTGGTTAGAGTGCAATACTGCAGCCTACTGACTGTCGACCTCTGCCTGCATTTTGACAGTTCAAATCTCATCAGCCTCAAGGTTGACTCAGCCTTCCATCCTTCCGAGGTCGGTAAAATGAGGACCTAAATTGCTGGGGGAAAATGCTGATTCTTTAAACCGCTTAGAGAGGACTGTAAAACACTGTAAAGTGGTATATAAGTGCTATTGCTATTGCTCTAAGTCACAATTTTCAGTGCGGTTGTAACTTTAGTCACTAAATGAACAGTTGTAGACCTCTTACAACCATTCATCTAGTGACAGTTCAAAGTTACAAAGGCAGTGAAAAAAGTGACTTATGACTTGTTTTTCACACTTACGACCTTTGCCGCATCCCCATGATCACGTGATCAAAATTTGGACATTTGGCAACTGGCATGTATTTAGGACAATTGCAGTGTCCAGAGTCATGTGCATCTATTTTTTTTGCAACCTTCCGAGAAACAAAGTCAATGGGGAAGCCAGATTCATTTAACAGCTGTGTTAGTAACTCAACAACCATAGTGATTTGCTTAACAACCGTGGCATGAAAGGGCGTAAAAGACTACCCTGTGTTAAGATGGGTGGCCGATACATTTAACGAAGAAACAATAAATACAATGCAGCAAAGCTCACTAAGCTGCCTGGCTTAGCGATGGAAATTTTGGGCTCAACTGTGGTCATATGTCGAGGACTACCTGTAAAGGTGCCCTTGACCAAACCGAGGAAGGGTTTTTCTTTGTCAAGTGCAAAGTAGGCAGGTCACAGTAGGTGATGGCCCTGAATCAGATGTACTGGTATGTAGGAATGGCCTTGAAGACAGGAAGTACTGCAGCCAGGGTAACGATCAGATAAGAGGCAGCTTAGCCAGGCGTGAGACGCTGCTGGTATAACAACCGGTTCAGTGATCGCGTGCTTTGCACATGTGAACACCAATGCAAAAATCCTTACCTGCTATGTTACTTTGGGGCAATAACACAGCTGAGGAGCAGCAATCTGTTCTTCCATGCTGATCAGCTGGGATGATAAAGGTTAGTACAGCGCAGGGGTAGGTGGGTGGTCCCACATGATTGTCGGAGAGAATTAGTTCGTTCCCAGCTAATCTTCAGAGCTAGAGGTTCTCCTGGACTGGTCCGAACCAGCAGAATCCCATCCCTGAGCTTAGACCAGAGTAACAATGGGGATGTGACAAATGTCTGTATCAAGTGATCCTCTTTAGTTTCTTGGGCTTTAAACATGATGGGGAAGAAATATATTTTGGGATTTCCAAGGTTCTGTTAAGGTAACTGCCAGGTTCCAATTAATGCAATCATCCTAAAATGAGCTTGACAGTAACCTTACAATAAAGTAGAATTAGTCGTGTTTTCTGTCTGGCCTCCCTTACAAGACTGACAGTAGCTGATCTCAAGCAGCATAAATATCAGACTTATGGCTTGAACAACATTAGAAAGTTTAAACACACACACACCACACACAAGTTGCAAAACCAGGTGCTATATTCTGGTTGAAAGAGAGTTATGGCCTATGTGAGAAATATTCCCATTTCTTCTCATACTAAGAAGAAAGGTTAGCATGAAATGCTTATCTACCTCGAAATCCCTCTATTCTTTCTCCTCCTTTTGTAAGTGTTTTTTTCTCATTTTTTCTACCAAGAATCACTTAGGTAACAGATATAAAAACATAGGTCATTACTCTGAAACTGCCTGCCTAGCAAACTGCCAAGTTTTTGTTCAACTAACAGCAGGCAGCAAAAATGTGAGGATTGATGATTCCTAAGAATGGAAAGACTGGTTTCTGCAGAAACAAATCCTGGTTGTTTGATTGGGTTTCCCATCGATGGGTAAGCCATCACATTCAGTGGTGGGATTCAAAATTTACCACCGGTTCTGTGGGTATGACTTGGTGGGAGTGACTAACTCGATAGCACCTTGCTGTGAGTGATGACGAGTTGGTCACGCCCACCCAGTCACATAACCGATGCTGTATAGACAGGGTGATTGCCCACGTATGTGCCTTCCCCCCCCCCCCCACCTTTGGGCTGCCAAAATAAGAAGGAGAAGACTTGGCTGAACATTTCTGCCTCCTGCTCTCTGCTTTGTGTGCACACAAATCGGACAAACAGCAACCATCAGCTGTTTCTTACCTTCCCTGGGGCGCACCAAATGCGTGATTCGCGCATGCACAGATAACAGCAACACCATCAGCTGTTTCTTGCATTGCCAGGCCTATCACACACACAATTCACACATGCGCAGATAACAAAAACACCGGCCATCAGCTGTTTCTTGCATTGCAGGCCTACCACACGCGCAATTCACACACGCGCAGATAACAACAACAACGACCTGTTTCTTACATTGCTGGATGTGGCAAATGTGTAATTTGTGCACACGCAGGTAACAGCAGCACTATCAGCTGTTTCTTGCATTGCCGCGCATTCCAAACGTGCAATTCGCACACACGCAGATAACAGGAACATCGACCATCAGCTGTTTCTTAGCTCAGTTGAGGCATGGCAATCCGCTTTGCCACGCGAATCAGCTGATCTAAGAAACAACAGAATATAGGTGAGGTGAGAGGTAAGAGTGGAGGCAGGGGCGCAGGGCCAGTCAAAATTTTACCTACCAGCTCTCCGAACCGGTCTTCCCTACCCAGACACAAGAACCTATCCAAACTGGCTGAATAACACTCCTGATCACATCTAAGCCTCTCCTGAGCGGGCACTCAAATTTTCCCCTTAGAGATAGTCCTTGACTAACAACTACAATTGGGACCTGATTTTTTCTCATTGGTAAGCAAAGTGATTAACTGAGTCACACCCAATTTTATAACCTTTTTTTGCCACAATTGCTAAGCGAATCAGTGCAGTTGTTAAGTGAATCATATAGTCATTAAGCAAATCTGGCTTCCCTCATTGACTTTTCTTGTTGGAAGCCAGTTGGGAGCATCACAAATAGCGATCATTTTCAATGCAGTTGTAATAATTTAGAACGGCCATTAAACAAATCTCTGTAAGTTGTAAAGCATATGAGCAAGTATATTATAACAATATCTTTTAAAACTCCAAACGGAGAAGAAAAGGAGCAGAAATTTCAACCTCCCATGCCCCTCTTACCATTTCCATGTCGCTGTCATAGTTTTACAGTTCCTGGTGACCAAAACGTTGTAGAAAAAAATGCAGCTTCAAAGGAAGTGTTAGGCCCAAAGGCTTTTGCAAATGTCATATCCTTCACCCAAGCCCTCCCTTCCCCCAAATTTGTCCTAGGATTATTAGCCATTTCTCTACTCAGACATCCAAAACTCTGCTCAGCAAAACCACAGATGGTGTTATGTAAAGTGTGGCAAGGCCGTGGAATATTAAAGCATCTGGAAATATTTACCTGAAAAAGACAGCTTAAAGAGGATATGACAGAACTACCTAAAGGGAGTCACATGGAAAAAGTTCTTTGTCACCCCAGAATACAAGACATGGAGTTTTGCCTTCTTTCAATGACCCCATAATCCCTTGCGGGGTGGAGTCTGGGGAACTGAGTGGAGCTGAGTGTTTACTGGCCGGATGCCCTTCCTGTTGCCCATGCAGAGTCTTCTTTCAGCAGACATATTTTCATTGTGATCAGAGAAATATCTGCCCTTACCTAGTTTCCTCTTTGCATTGGGTACACCGGGCCAAAGCCATACTGGCCTAATGTTTCCTCTTCGCATTGGATGGACCTGGCCAAAGCGAAGAGGGCTGGCTCCTTACATTTTCCAGGATGGCCGCGGGGGCAGGTCCAACTACATCACGAGCCAGATCCGGCCCACGGACCTTGTGTTTGATACCCCTGTTCTACACTAATTTCCCATTTAACTCCTCCCCCTTGCTCTGCCAATGTCTCCCCACACAATCCCAGCCACTCTGGCTCTGAGAAGAGATGGGAACTGAGGAGACAGGGAAGAAAATTGCTGCCAGAGCGGAATAAGAAATATGGTGACAGATACTCCAACAGTGTAGACGAGCCCCAAGAGATCTCTCAAACACTACCTTGTCCTCGTAGATCTTGCGGATACGCAGAAGAGCCTGGGAGACAGGTTCCTTCTCTCCAGTAATGATGATCTCATCCTTGCTGACGCTGGGCGGGGGGATGTTGATGCGTGCCCCTGTCTCCTGCATGATCTCCTGGACTGTTTTGTTGAAAGCCCCAGCGATGAATGGGTGAAAGACCTTCTCCAGGTTCAAGCGCTCCACTGCTCGTTTGTCCTAAAAGGAAAACCACAGAGAAGCTTCAGCCTGACTAGAGATGAACATAGGTAGAGCTGAAGAAGCTTCTTCGATGAAAAGTGAAACATCTTCAAAGAAAAACATGGAAGTCCAGTTGCCTCTTGAAAAAAGCACTTTTTATTTATTTGTATCCCGCCTTTATTATTTTTATAAATACAGGTGGTCTTCAACTCACGACCACAGTTGAGCCCAGAGATTATGTGGCTAAGTGAGACATTTGTTAAGGGAGTTTTGTCCCACGTTACGACCTTTCTTGCCACAGATATTAAGTGAATCACTGCAGTTGTTAAATTAGTAACCCGGTTATTAAATGAATCTGGCTTTCCCGTTGACTCAGCCTGTCAGAAGGTCGCAAAAGAGGGTCACCTAATCCCAGCACCCCATTCATAAATAGGAACAATTATCAAGCAGCCGAATGCAAATGACCTGACCATGGGGATGCTGCTACAGTCACCAGTGTGAAAAATGGTCATAAGCCACTTGTTTTCAGTGCTGTTGTAACTTCGAACGGTCACTAAATGAACTGTTGTAAGTCAAGGGCTACCTGTAACTCAAGATGGAGAACATATCCAACATACTTTCCTCTTCTTTTCCTAACAACTGTGTGACATGTGTTGGGCTGAGAGAGAATGTCCGGCCAAAGGTCACCCAGCTAGCTTTCATGGCTAAAGCGGGACTTGAACCCATGGTCTCCCAATTTCTCTAGCCTGGTGCCTAAACTACTAGACCAAACGGGCTCCGAGTTTGACCTTGGAAGTCTGGTTCATTTTTTGCACACATGCAAAGCTATTACAGTAGGCCTTTTGTGGTGACCTGGGGCGTGGCATGAAGGCAACACAGCCAGAGAACAGGTGTGAGTCCCTTTAAGGGGGCGTGCATAAGCGCACCAACGTGCCTACCGTCCCTGTCCTATTGTTTCTCTTATTCTTTTGTTTTTCTTGTATGTAACCATTTCATGTATTCACAACTATGTATACATTTATACTTATTATCTTGTAAACAATTGGCAAATCAAATAAATAAATAAAATAAATAAAAATAAATTTGCTCCAATTTTGTCCCAAATGTCCCGTTTACTCTCTGGCCTGGAGAAAAGCTCTCACGTGAACCTGTAACAGCCTCTGGCTGCAGATACTCCAGTCCAAACACTGTAAGCAGAATGACTGCAATGAATCACTCCAGCAGGGCAAGATAATGAGTCCAATAATCCCAGCAAGGCAAGATAAGCACACAGAAGCACAGCAATAATTTAAACAGTCAGGAGGAATGCCAGGAATGCAGGCTAAAACTCTCAACACTAGATGAATTCAGCCTTTGCTCCCAACAAACGCCTTTCCCAACTGCCTCTCCTTTAAACTCCATCCTCAGGTATGCCTTGTGAAGGGAATCGGGGCCCTTACCTTCCTCATAACCCACAAAACCCATGTTGCTCTCTTCTGTGTTCTTCCGTGCACACCCTAGTATGAGGAGGGGGTGGGCCTTTGTCTTCACCTGAACCCCCTCTCCCTTGTTCTACCTCTCCCCTGTTCTACCCAGCCTGACTTTGACCTTCCCCAGTTTCCTCCACAGCCAACAGAGCCTCTTTCCCGCTTTCTGTCAGTGTTCATCTTTCCTCTCAGATACAGACTCCAATGGAGGCATAACACCTTCCTTCCCGTCTCAAACAAACACACAGGAGATGATTGTAATAACCTTCAATTTTCTAGTGCCATGCATGACTGTATAAGTAATCCTTGATTTACAACCATCCGTTTAGTGACTCTTTGAAGTTACAGTGGCACTGAAAAAAGCGACACAACTGTTTTTCATACTGATAATCATTGTGGCATCCCTGGGATCAAAATTCGGGATGCTTGGCAGCTGACTCTTATTTAGAACGGTTGCAGTGACCCAAGATCATGTAATCCCCTTTTGGGACCTTCTGACAAGGACATTTTCTGACAAGCATAGGAATCATCTCAGACTAACGGTCTGCACCTGAGTAAACTAGGTAAGGTTTGACAGCATTCAAAGGAGATTGGATTTTGTCCTCTTGTTGACTACGTTGAGATTCTAAACTAATTCCCCATTTGACTCCTCCCCCTGCCACTCTTCTCTCCAACACAATCCCAGCCACTCTGGCTCTGAGAAGGGAAGCAAAGTCAACAGGGAGCCACTTATCAGCCTGTATTACTAACTTATCAACTGCAGTGATTCTCCTAAGAACTGTGGCAAGAAAGGTCATAAAATGTGGTAAGACTCCCTTAACCACCATCTCAGGGCAGTTCAGTGAGTTTGACTTAAGCAAAGAAATTTTGGGCTCAGTTGCGCTCATTAACCGAAGACTGCCTGTAAACATTGATTTATTTAAGAGTCGGGTGGCGCAGTGGTTAGAGTGCAGTACTGCAGGCTATTTCTGTTGCCTGCCAGCTGCCTGCAATTTGGCAGTTTGAATCTCACCAGGCTCAAGGTTGACTTGGCCTTCCGAGGTGGGTAAAATGAGGACCCAGATTGTTGTGGGGCAAGATTCTGACTCTGTAAACCACTTAAAGAGGGCTGTAAAAGCATTGTGAAGCGATATATAAGTCTAAGTGCTATTGCTATTTTCACTGCAAGCCTGCTGTGAAAAAAAAATGACAGCAACAGCAGCTCTTCTGAAATCAAGAAGAAAATAATGCATAAGAATACTTCCTCACCTTTTAGGGGGGGAAAATAGACACAAGTACTCATTAAAGTTGCATTTGGTTAACTCTACGGTGAAATTAAGAGCACAATCCATGCCACTTGTCTCTGGGAGTGCCGGCTTATCGTTTTAGAATCAAGACGTTGCAGCATCAATTGCAGAAGACATTCAAAATAATCTCCTGTGAACTTCCACATCTCCACCCTGTTGCCTTCGGAGAGAAGGAGAGGCGCCCAGCTGCTCACCTGCTCTGCTGAGATGAGCAAGATCTCATGACGTGCTTTCTCGATGCCTTCTTTGGTGCCCGTGATCTTGATCTGGCTGCTGGGATCCTCGGGTCGCGGGATGTTGATCTTGGTGGCCGTCTTTAGCTCGAGCTCCTGCAGTTTCTCGCCGTTCTTGCCGATCACAAAGCGATGGTGTTCTTTGGGGATTGTGACAGTAGCTGAAGCCTGTGGAAAGGAGGCAATTGTGGAAAGGGATTGAAGCATTTGAGGGGGCAGACTCTCTAGAAAAAACAGAGGAAGAGCAGGAATTTATATAAGGTGAAGCTGTCAACTCTGAAGAGAACCTGGCTGAAGCCATCTTCTGCTACTTCACAGTGGCCATCTGAGGGCTGATGGATGGCCCAGGCTCCACCTCTGTCTCTATCCCTGACAGCTCCATTCCCTCTTCCCCCTCAGAGATCTCAGATTGCCCCAACTCCCACGTCGCCTCCTCATCTAATTTGGCTGCCGGAAGGCCACAACAGCCCTTGCAGATGTCATAAGACTACAGAATGCTGCCTAGCCTGAGGAGAACTAGAGGTTAACATCTGAAGGCCCCAGACTGTTCGTAGGTGCTCCGGCAGAACTGAGTCGATTGGCCAATGGCAAGACTCTGCTAAAGGGCAGCCTTCTACAAAAGATCCAACTTGCTGTGCCAGTTTTTGAAGGCCGGCTACAAAGTCTGTGTGTCACCCTGGAAACCCTTACATAAAGTTAATTGTAATGTTTTTAAAAAATTTATTTTTAATTTTAATTATGCGAATACAACACAATACATCCAACTTATCCTTGTTATATATAAATACATTTTACTTCATCATTTATAATCTCCTTATTAATTACTAATTAATCTAATCATAACTACTAGTATTCTGACCTTGTCTTCTATTATATAACCATTTATAAAATTTATTCCATGTTTTATAATATTTAGACTCTTTGTCTTTTATTTCTAAAGTTAACCTATCACACTCTGCATATGCCATAATTTTTCTTATTGTTTCCATTTCTGGAGGTATAATTCACTTTTTCCAATATTGTGCATATATTATTCTAGCATATTGTGTATATATTATTCTAGCCGCCATCAATACATGTACCTTAGATATATTATTTCCTTTTTTAATTTTTCTGATATTATTCCAAAAAGAAAAAATTCCGGTTTAAATGGAATACACTCTCCCACCATTTGTTCTATTCATGTTTGAATCAGTCTCCAATATTTTTTGCAGCATTGCAAGTCCACCACATGTGAAAAAATGTCCCTGGTACACCTTTACAATTCCAACAATTTGGAGATATATTTTTAAACATTTTAGAAAGCCTTGCTGGCAGAAGATGCCACCTGTAAAAGATCTTATAAAGATTTTCTTTATAAGCCGTAGCCAGTGTTATTTTTTTTATTTGTGGTCCAAAGTTTTTGCCATTTAGCCAATTCAATATTATAACCGATTTTTTTTTTGCACAAATTGTAAATATTTTAAGTGCTGGATTGGGAGAAGGACATGGAGAACCATCACAATGGCCCTGTGGAAAAAGGTTGACATGTCACCTGGGTCTGAAGCCGAGCGACAATTTCCTTCCGTGCTTTCATCACAGAGTCCAGTTTGCCAGTCACCATGATGGACAGGCCCTGGTCCTTGGCCAAGGAAAGCTCAATATGAGCCCCCGTCTTCTGCATAATGTCCACGCAGACTTTGGCCTCATCACCTTCTCCGAACTGGCTGTTGTCCTTGTAGCGTCGCTCTTCCAGAGGGACGTGAAACACCTGCCAAGAAGAACCGGGCACAGACGGACCTTACTGGGTCCGAAAGGAAACCCTAATGGGATGCCACAAGGAGAAGGGGGGGGTCAACCCATCCTCCAAAGAAGCTGAAGGCAGGATTAGAAAGAAGCAAGAGGTGGAAACTAAGCAAGGAGAGAACCAACCTAGAACTCAGGAGAAATTTCCTAACGGTGAGAAGAAGCAACCAGTGGAATGGCTTGCCTCTAGAAGTTGTGGGTACACCATCACTGGAGGCTTTCAAGAAGAGACTGGACAGCCACTTGTCTGGAATGCTATAGAGCAGTGATGGCGACCCTTTTCGGCACTGAGTGCCCAAACATGCATGCATGTGCGTGCCAGTTTTTGGGCCATTTTTCAGGCCATTTGGGGGATGTTTTTGGCCTGAAAACAGTCTGAAAAATGGCCTGTTTTGGGGCCATTTTCAGGCTGTTTTCAGGTCATCTTTTGAGTTGTATTCCTGGCTGTTTTCAAGGCATTTTGGGGCCAAAAATGGCCTTAAAACAGCCCCAAAACATCCTGAAAAATGGTCTGAAAATAGCCTGGAAAACAGCCTGTTTTCAGATTGTTTTCCAGCATTCCAGCGCTCGCAAAGACCAGCTGGTCGGTGCTGGCAACAGTGTACCCACTGAGAGGGCTCTGCATGCCACCTCTGCATGCCATAGGTTCACTATCATGCCTATAGTCTCCTGCTTGAGCAGGGGATTGGACTAGAAGACCTCCCAATTCCCTTCCTACTCTGTTATTCACCAAAAGAATTGATCCAGGATACCATCTTCTTTGCCGGGGGCAGGAGGGAGGGGCACCAGAGTTGGTGTCCACCCATCTTAAAAAGTTGCTGAGTTTGAGAAAGTTTTCTCCAGACTAATTCCCTGGTTATCACAGCAAGATGCAAAAAAGCCCTTGCCCCGCAATTTATGTATCTCTTTCTAAGCAGAATTCAATCTAGAGATTTTAAACCAGGGATTGGGGGTGGAAGGGGAATATTGTAATTCCGTCTTTTCATTTACCTGTCTTATGATTAATTTTCCAGGCCAGTGGCTCTTAAATGGTTTGACCCAATTATCTGTCTTCCCAGTCTCCAACAGTGCCATTAAACCCACACATCCCTACAAAAAACAGACTCTGGGGAATCCTTGGTGCTTTTTGAACTTGGTTGTTTTCTTGCAGACGTTTCATTACCCAAACTAGGTAACATCTTCAGTGCGAGAAGGGTGTACGGTATGTGGGGTGGAGGAGCAGGAGGAGAAAGGGAGGGAGGAGGACTGTGGGATTCTTGGTGCTCTCTGAGCTTATTGTTTTCTCGCAGAGGTTTCATTACTCAAATTAGGTTGCATCTTCAATACGAGAAGGGAGTAAGGTTTGGGAGGAGGACAAGGAGGACAAGGAGGAGGACGAGGAGGAGAACTGTGGGATCCTTGGTGCTCTCTGAACTTGCTTGTTTTCTTGCAGGTGTTCCATGACCCAAACTAGGTAACATCATCAGTGCTAGTTACGAACACTGCACTGCATTAGCCCTGATGATATTACCTAGTTTGGTTCATGAAATGTCTGCAAGAAAACAACCAAGCTCAGGGAGCACCAAGGATTCCTCATTTCAAATGCGAGCTACAAATATTCTTCTTTATTGATTAAAAACAGAGTCCGTTGTGTTTTATGCAAGCATCCCAGCAGCGTTCAGGCCCAAACTGGATCCTTGATTCTCAACAAGCCATTGCAAATGGCTTCATTACCCCCAGGATATGCCCCACTGACTCCTACTGTTCTGGACCAACCTTATGCAGCTTGGATGCCCTTCAGGTATGTGAACCAACTCCCAGAATTCTTAGCCACAGTTATGCTGCCTGAGGAATTCTGGGCACGGAAGTCTACTCACTTGGGAGGAAACCAGATTGGCAAAGGTTGCTTCCAACCCACACGTTCCTTTTCTGTGAGAGATCACACCAGGCCGCACGCTGCACCCACCTCCTCCGCGCACTCACCTGGGTGATGACCGAAGATTTGATAGGCCGGATTTTGTTCCATACTCCTGTGAACTCACTGGATCTTTCCCCCGGAGCCCCCTTTTCCGGGAGCGGTGGGAAAGCTTCCAAGTAAGTTGGGATGTAGGCCTCATCTTCTGGGACACCACCTGCTTGAAGCAGAGACCACAAGGAAACCAATATCAAAAGAACAGAATGAGAGAAATGTATAAAGACAACGGCTCCTTTGAGTGGACTTCAATTAAATAGTGTAGGAGGTAGTCCTCAACTTACAACTGGCCATTTAGTGACCAAAGTTACAGGGGCACTGGAAAAAAGTGACTTATGATCGGTTTTGCTTCTCATTGGCTGTGAGAATGTCCTTTCTGTGCCACATCTTCCACCGGCGAGACCCTCTCACCTCGTGATTCTTCATCCCTCAGGCCGCTGCGGTGCTCAGCAAAGCTCTCGGGTGTTAACACGGCGACCGAACTCATTGTTTCAAACCCAGATTTGTGCGTTTCCGATATTCCACTGGAGAGAGAGAAAGAAGGGAGGGAGGGAGGAGGGGAAGAACAAAAGGGAGGGAGGAAAAGAAAAAGAAAGAAAAAGAACAAGAAACAAAGACAGAGAGAAAGGGAAGAAAGAGGTGGAAGGAGGGAGGGGGAGGAAGGGAAAGAAGGGAGGAGGGAAGGAGAGAGGGAGGGAGGAGGAGGGAGGAAGAGGGAGAGAAAGAAAGAGGGAGAAGAGAGGAGAGGAGAGGAGAGGAAAGGAAAGGAAAGGAAAGGAAAGGAAAGGAAAGAGAGTTGGCCAAACTCCTTTGGAAGAGGCATTATTCAACCCTGAACATGGCTGGCATTTACTCACAAGATACCAGCTCAGCTCCGCTAAATGATCAGCATGGATCCATCCCAATTTCAAACATGTTCTTCTGCCTTGCCCAATGCTTTGTTTTTACAATGAGCAATCAAGTGCAGCAATCACATTCGCTGATTTTACATCAGCTTTTACATCCTGGCACAATCATCAATGCTCTGCCAGCTGCCCACTCTTACTACCTCCATAGCAAAATACAGCACCCTTGGCTTACCTGCAAAAGGGTCAAATGCCGGAAAGGTCCGTCCGAAACAAGGCTACCCGTGGCGCATCAGCGTGACAGCAGCTTTGGTCCTGCCAGGATAATTGAATACCATCATTTTTAGGATGAAACATGCCCCCATCTGGAGCAAGAGCCCCCTCCCCCCAGCCCCAAAGTAAGATATACCACAGGTAACCAGAATAGCAATGGAAGATGTATTTAAAGATTATGGGAGTGTGTTATCTATCCTTCCCCAAAAACTTATCTTTGTTCTAGGACATCTCCCTGTTGCCGGGAGGCTTCCTGCACCTCCAGGAATTCAGTCAGGAACCTGGAGGAAACTATTAGGCAGTTGGGCTTCTAGTCCTCATGATCAGAAGAAAACAAATCTACAATGCAATCTAAAAAATAAGCAATCTCTCTTGAGATAGAGACAGTTTGGTCAACTGTTAAGGCACCAGGCTAGAAACTGGGAGATTGTGAGTTCTAGTCCCGCCTGAGGCAATGAAAATCAGTTGAGAAACTTGGGCCAATCACCAGGACATGGTGAGTTCTAGTCCCGCCTTAGGCATGGAACTGGCTTGGTGACCTTGGGCTAATCACCAGGAGACTGTGAGTTCTAGTCCCACCCAAGGCAATGAAAGTAAGTTGAGTAACTTGGGCCAATCACCAGAAGACTAGGAGTTCTACCCCCGCCTTAGGCATGGAAATGGGCTTGGTGACCTTGAGCCAATGACTAGGAGACTGAATTCTAGTCCTGCCTTAGAGATGAAAGCTGGCTGGGTTGTCTTTGGGCCAATAATTCTCTCTCAGCCCAACTCACCTCACAGGGTGGTGGCTGTGAGGAAAACAGGAGGAGGGAGTATGAGTTGTTTATAAAAAAAGGCAGAATATAAATAAATAAAAATAAGAGATAGAACCATTAAATAATGCCGTGAAGCCATAACAGTCTAAAAAAAGTCACTGAGTAAGGGAACTAAGAGCCTCTTTAAAATGAAATCTCACTTCTACATCTTTTTGGATGCAGCTAGAATTGTTCTTCACTAAAGTGGTAAACTGGATTCTGGCATCCAAAATTGAGTGCCAAAACTGAGATCTACAGTTAAGAGACTCCAGGAGGTAAAAGTGGCTAGATAGGTAATCCTCAACTTACAACTGCAACTGAACTCCAAAATTTCTGTTGCTAAGCAAGGCAGCGGTTAAGTGAGTTACACCTCATCTTGCGACCATTTCTGCCACAACTGTAAATAAATTGTTGCAGTTGTTAAGTGAATCGTGCAGTCGTTAAACGAATCTGGCTTTCCCCATTGATTTTGCTTGTGGGAAACCAGCTGACAAGGTTACCAATGGTGATCACATGACCATGGGACACCGCAACTGTCATAAGTACATGCCAGTGGTCAAGCACCTGAATTTTGATCATGTGACCGTGGGGATATGCTGCAAAGGTCGTAAATGTGAAGATCTGTCATAAATCACTATTTTTCAGTGCTGTTGCAACTTCTAGCTACAGAATAACAGTGTTCTGACCCAGCTCCCCAAACACAACAAACCCTCTGATGCGAATTCAAAAGATTCCTTTATTAGGAGCACCGGCAGCCCAGGCAAAAAGTTTCTCTCCCATTGCAGGCTAACAAGTCTGGCCGGCCGGGAGATGAATAGTTGTCTGCCATATCTATTCAGCTCCGCCCCCTGCATTTTATCCCCAGAGCTAGGGTAGTTGCTTCGCTAGCAACACTGGCTCTTCCTTCCCAAGGATCAGCCCACAGATCTCCACTGCTCTCCTCTCCTCTGCCTTCTGCGCATCCTCACTTCAGGCACAGGACCCAGCTGTTCCTCCTCTTCCTCATCAGTCACCCCCAGACCTGGTGGCCGTTGACTCTCCATCTGAGGGCTGACAGACGGCCCAGGCTCCGCCTCTGTCTCTCCGACAGTTCCATTCCCTCTTCCCCTCAGAGCTCTCAGGTTGCTGATTCAGCTGCTAGAGGCAGCAACCAATAGGGCAAAACAAACAGAGATGGAAGGGACCTTGGAGGTCTTTTAGTCCAACCCCTGCTCAAGCAGGAGACCCTAAAAATGGTGGTTCAATCTCTTTTTTTAAAAAACCTCCAGTGTTGGGAGCACCCGCAAAATTCTGGAGGTAAACCATTCTGCTGGTTTATTGTTTATTTATTGTTCATTGTTCTAAACCTGTGATGGCAAACCTATGGCACGCATGCAGGAAATGGCACGCAGAGTCATCGCTGCCAGCATGTGAGCCGTCGCCCCAGAGCAGGTCCACTGCACAGGCATGTGCACCGCCTGTCCGCCAGCTGATCGTTGGGTAGCAGCTGCACATGTGGGGGCGGATCGTATGCAGATGTGCATGTGCAGGAATGCGCATCGTGCGTGGGGGGTTGCACATGATGTGCAGTCATGTGGTGTGCATGGGGGGGTCGCATGTACATGCCCAGTAGTGTGGTGTGGGGGGGGTTGCACACACATGTGCAGAGACGCGCTGTGCACGGAGGGGTGTGCGCACATGTGTAGGGGGCATGGGGGCCCCGTGTGCACTGCCTTAGGGGTGCTGGCATGCATGCGCACCGTACTTTTGGCACACGAGGACAGAAAGGTTAGCCATCACTGTTCTAAACAAATGGTTGTTAAGTCAATGACTACCTGTAGTCTTTTTGATGCTCCAGCTGCAGAAGGAGGCAGGCATTAGATTTCCTGGAAATATTAACGTGGAGATGTACTGGACCTTTACAGATACAGATAATCAGAATTGGAAGGGACCTTGTAGGTCATCTAGTCCAACCCCCCGCCCAAGCGGGAGACCCTACACTATTTCTGACAAATGACAGTCCTTCTACTCTCAGTATTCCCCAATGGCATAGACAAAAATCTACATCAGCTATATACTCAGAGGGTGCCCAGTAGGAGAGCGCTAGTAATATATTTACACTGTTAGTATAAGCTGGGGCTCCTGTCTAATCAGACGTCAAACCCCTTCCTTGTCCACAATGCTATCTTTTCTCTTTTCCAGCTCTTATTAAAGCAAAGCATCGCTAAGCTTCCTAGGACCCGAACTACGGTGAGGATTTGAGAGAAAGCCTCTTATGGTTACCAGGAATTAATCACATTTGCCTCTCACCTTCCCATCAGCCCCGAGCTGAGTGGCGGGGTTGCGGGTGAAGTGGGGGGTTGTACGACTAATAAAACACACACACACAAGTACACACAAGCACACACGCTCAGTTCATGGAGGCATTTCTAATCAAGGAATAGGCTTTAAAAGAGAGGCCCCTCTGTAAATCCTTTTGGGTAGCTATTTCTAATCCACATTAAGGTCGTAGCAAAAAAGAAAAGGAGAGAAAGAGACTTTTTTGAGGGAGGGGGAGCCTGAGTGGATGGGAGGAAGTGATATCACACAAGGCACAACAGCCAGAAATCAACAATTTAAAGCTAAGGGGGTAAGCTAGAAATACAGGCAGCCCTTGACTTGTGACCACAATTGAGCCCAAAATTTCTGTTCCTAAGCGAGAACATTTGTCAAGTGAATTCTGCCCAGTTTTATGAACTTTGGTGGCACGGTGGTTAGAGTGCAGTACTGCAAACTACTACTGCTGACAGCCAGCTACCTGGAATTTGGCAGTTCAAATCCCACCATCCTTCTAAGATGGGTAAAATGAGGGCCCAGATTGTTAGGGGCAATAGGCTGACTCTGTAAACTGCGTAGAGGGGGCTGTAGAGCATTGTAAAGCGGTTCATAAGTCTAAGTGCTATTGCTATTGCTAACTTTCTTGCCACAGTTGTTCAGTCAATCCCTGAAGTGAGGGTGTCACACTCAAGGCCCATGGGCCACATCCGGCCCATGGGGTGTTTACATCTGGCCCGCAGGGTCACCTTGGAAACAGCAAAGGATAAGCACGTGGTGCCTCTGCCAGCAAAAATGGAGCACGGGATGGCCACGCGAGCTCAGTTTTCACTGTCAAAGGGCTGCAGGAGGCAGTCCAGGCCAAAAATGGGGCCCCAGAGGGCCACACGTGGCCCTCCTGACCTCCATTTTAGCTGTCAGAGGGCTATCAAAACAAACTAAAAACAAAACAAAAGGAGAAATGTTTCCCATTTTGCATTTGAGCATGGAAGAAGAGACAAGAAAGGAGAAAGGGAAAGAAAATGATGGGAAGATGGGAAGAGAGCAAGGAAGGAAAAATAAGGAAAGAGGAAAAGAAAGAATTATAATGAGAGTGAGGGAAGACCTGAGAGAAGTCCTGCCTTAGCGGCCACCACAAGTACCCCCAACATGAGTGACATCGAGCTGGCCACGCTCCCCTCAAGGTCAAACACAATCCTGATGCGGCCCTCAATGAAATCGGGTTTCGCACCCGAGTTAGACACACGATTGTGGGGTGAACCTGGCTTCCCCTGTTGACTTTTGCTTTTCAGAAGGTCACAAAAGGGGATCACAAGACCCTGGGGACACTGCAACCGTCATAAATATGAACCAGCTGCCAAGTGTCCGAATTTTGATCACATAACCGTGGGGATGTTGCAACGGTCATTAAGTGTGAAAAACAGTCACCAGTCACTTTTAAAGGCACTTTTAAAGTGCCTCTGCAACTTTAAACAATTACTAAACGAACTGGGACTATCTGTATATTGTGAAAACATCCTGGTGGGGAGGCCCACACCACCAAGAAAGTTTCATGTCACACAAAGATTGACAGCCCTCCAACAAGCTTCATTTCCCTCAGAGAGTAGAAGCCGAGACCGAGCGTGTCACAAAAATGCAATGGGCTCACTCATTTTTGCACAGGGATGTCATCTGTTAGGAATGCGCCTTCCTACAAAATGCATTCATTCAAAATCTACCCTTCGCTGCTGCTTTCCAAATGCGTTCTTGGCTGTGGGGGGCGGGGGGGGGGGGGGGGGGGGGGGAGAGAGAGCAGGCTGAAAAAACTTTTTGAGAAAGCTTTTTGTAATTAAGCCCTTTACATTCACAGATTGAGGCACAAATAGACCTGTTGGGTCTGTTCGAGGAGAGATACAGGTAGTCTTCGACTTACTATATGATTCATTTAGCGATTGTTCGAAGGTACAAGGACATTCA